TAATTACACTCGCGTGATAGGTTAGTTTCATCGCAGCGTATGGCACCAAGTTGCGATCGCGATAATTAGACGAATAGAGCCACGGTTCGTCGATAACAGAAATTACAAAGAGAAAATGGCTTGGTGCACGCTACTAACTGAAGTATCGACGGTGAAATGAATATCATCGTTTCTGTACCGTGAAGTTGTTTCTTTTTGTTGCCGCGAATCACGTGACTGCACAAGCGGGATGTTCACTGTATTTTACAAGTGGGAACGAGTGATTGGTACCTTTTGTCATGATTCAAAGGCTCTTCGAAAATAACTTTATTCGCCACGGTGGACAAATAGATTTACGAGTGAGTTAAATTGTAATATTACCAGCAATGTGACCGAAGATAATTAAATTAAACAAGGTGAGTCCTCTTGAACAATAATTTAACGTTTATTAATAAAAGCGTTCGTTATTTCTTGTTAGTTAAAACGATGTCGATATAATAATTCGTTTTCTTGTTAACCCTCTACGGGTCGAATATGTTTCTTTATCAACAAAACATATAAAATACAGATTAACAATGAATTCGGCAGTTTCAACAATTTGATTACAACGAATAATAAAATTGACATTTCAGGACAGAAGTGATAACTATTATCAAGAATGTTACTGGTTAATAAGGAGACATTGTACAACAAGATGTATACGCCATCTTGTGCAAAAAAGTTCAATTATTTAATAAAATATCGATATGTTGGTACGTGACTTGGAAATTACACGGGCTCATACAGGGTTAAGTTAACAAGATTTAATGGAAATTCAAGCCTCCATTAGAAAGTACTAGAAAGTTGAAGTGGAAAATTCGCTCCACGTTTAATAGTTGGAAAAATAAAATTACACGTGCACACTGAATTCGGCCATATTGCGTGTGAAGTTATCGTAAATTTCGATCGGGACGCAGTGTAAATTTGCAATATATGGTATGGTGTATCTGACTGTCCTTGGGCAGTACAGCGAAGGGAAGCTGTAGCAACCCCTTCGTTCGATCGGCGAGCCTTTTTTTTCGTCAACTTTTCATCCTCTGCCCATTGAATGGGACCGAATCTCCCTAAGGGTGATTCATATGACGCGTGTCTCGTCAGTTCGTAATCTCTCTCTTTCTCTCTCGTGCATACGTAAACTACGCGTTTATTATGCATTGTATCGTTGCTTGCAATATTTATAGTAGCCGGTTATGTTATACAGTCGTCAGGTTCTATGCACGTTTCTATTTTATCATATCGATTTTCTTATTTTCCACACGCCCGTGGCTGGCAACTGTACCATGAGAAATGCAAATGGCAACTTTCTTGGTATCGTATGAATAAACTATTCGTATACACCTTCCACGAGCGATTGTTCCGATTTTAATATTATGTCACAGTCAAACACACGAGTGGTAGTTGTGAACTGCGTTGTTGAAATAGGGATATTCGATTATTTTGTTGAAGAGGATTTTAGAACACGGCAATCTAAATTTAAAAGACAGCATGAGAAATAGTGGTTTTGGTTACGATCCTCGTTATTGGTCATGAGAATTTTTTTTTTTTTTTGAAATTTATTCGAAAAGCAGTATTTTACTTACGTGTCATATTTTCAAAAATTTTTATACTAAGTTCTTAGTAATTTCATTTTAAATTAAAATATCACCGATAAATAGCGATGTGGGAAAACAGTACAAACGATAATGTAATGGAAGAGGTACGAAATTGTAAGTAATGCTTTAACGCATTCGGATATAAAATAACATACAAATAAATGCGAAAAATAATATTTCGAACATTGTTTCGTGCATAAAAATAAAATACATACATACATACATATGTATATATATAAGTGTATTTATTATATATATATATATA